ATATTCGATGAGTAGTATGCCTTATTTATACTAAATAATACTATTGTTATAAAAAATAAATAATTTCATAATACTTTTCGTCAGTTATTTTATATCCAAGTACTAGGTTTTCCAAGCTTATAATGTGATATCTAATTTTGTGTTTTTTAAGAATTAATCTAATACTTTCCCAAAAAGTTTTAAAATATTTGCAGGTGATAAAGAAATGTTTATAATTCTTTTTAACATTGCATATATTGCATAAAGGAGTATCTACTATTTTCCAGATTTCTAATATTTGTTTACAAAGCAGTATCCAATGTAACAATTTCCACCTCAATATTTTCAATTTATTATCTTTTAAGTATCTAAATATAAACAGTGTATTGTGTTTTATTTTCAAATTGATATCTTCAACTTGCAAAATATTTTTCCACTTTACAAAACCTATTGGTGTTTCTATGTTAGATTGTATGAGTATATTATATATATCTTTTGTTGTTACATTTTGTAACTCATACTTTTTATGATTTTTACATACTATTTCCAATTTTTTATAAAAGTAAACTTTTGTTCGCTTTGATTTTTCATCTTTAAGTAAATTTAACCATTGGTTTGGCAATGCCTTTTTTTATTTTTGTATATTCTGAGAACCAATTACAATGAGACGATAGTTTGCTTAATTTCAAATTTTTAGAAACATCCAGGATATCATTTATATATAGTATATTATCTTTAACCCAGACTTAGTGATTATAGACTAGACATTTACCATTTGATTTTATGTACGTGTTTCCCCATATTATTTGTTTTCTTACTTCAGTAAAATTATTTGGATTTTTTTCTGTTCTATTCAATTTCACCTAAGTTTTAATCATTTCTAAGTAAAAGTGTGTTACATTATTTTTCAAATTCTCTATATCTTGTGTTTTATCTATTTTCAATAAAAAAAATTAAGTAATTTTCTCCTAGTTTATCAAAGTAAAACTGAGGAATAACTTTCCAGTTCGGTAACACATCATCCTTGTTATCTAATCTTTTAATCCAATTTATTTTTAATGATTCAACATATTTATCTATATCAATCATGTTCAATCCTCCGTTAGTATACTTTGATCTTTTAACCTTTCTATTTTATTATCCCTGATATTGATATTGATTACTGATGATAAAAGGTTAAGTTTGGAACTATTAAAGACTTTACAACAATTATTCTGCCTGAGATAGTAAGTTGTCTTTTAGACCAATCTTTGATAATTTTCTCTGATTTAGTTAACTGTTTTTCTAAGTTCAGTTTTTCACACTCAATCTTATTATGTCCAACGTATACTCCTAAATAACGGCAACAGTAGTATACCGCTGTTCAAAAGTCATAAATCGATTGAGAGAAAACAAATCCGGGTTACAAACTAAAACCGTGGGAAACACATCAACTGCCATTTTCCTGACTTGGTACAGGACATTTTAAGAAAAATGGTAGGTTGAACCTGGTTTTATGGCTAGCTAAACCTACCGCTTATATGGCAATGTTAAAAAATGTCGCTAAAATGACAACACTACGTGACAGAAATACAGCACAAACAAACGCAAGAACACTCAGCACAGAGAAACGCACAAATAAATAATATAATAGTCGTTACAACGTGTAAACCGCAGAATAACAACGAACATCTTCCATTAACGACAGCACAGGACATCACAAACAGTGACGTATTTTTGTAACGAATATATAATCTTGAAATTCATATAATTTTTCACAATACTAGTCCAAACAATTATCATGACTATGATGGTATTGAAAGGCTATTTTAAATAAATGCTGTGACGACGTCATAATTATTTGGACTAACACAATACTTTATCCCTGGAAAATGGAAATTAACTCTTGATTAGTACGCCTTTTATATTGTTGTCTGGTCTTAATCTACATGTTAAGATTTCTACTGCCATCACGAAAATAATTTCGCTGACCGGACAGCCTTGTCGAATCACCCTCTGAATGTCAAAGGGCACAGAGATCCAATCATTATTTGTTACACATCCTTAATATTTGTATATAAAGTCTGTATCCAATTTATAATAGAATTTTGAAGACCGAATTTTCTTAACTCGGTCAAGTTTCAAGGTTACAAAATTTACATGATCTATGGTTTATGAATTTGGTGATGTCTTAGGGTAAGAGAAGAGTCCAATACCAATCAGCTATTGCGTAATATCTAATCACTTGATATATCTGATCAACGTATTCTTTAGGAGTAACACGACGGGTGTCACATATGGCGCAGGATCTGTTAACCTTTCCGGAGCATGGTTATTGATGGAGTTCGTCTAGCTCAGTCTTTAGTTTTTTTTATTATGTCTTTTGAGTAATGTTGTTTGTCTTTTGGTCTTTTTTCGTTTTTGCCATGGCGTTGTCGGTTTGTTTTCGACTTATGAGTTTGAATGTCACTTTGGTATATTTCGCCTCTCTTTTTTTGTCTGTATATAATAATGTCCAGGGGAATGTCTGTAAATGAAGGATGAACCAAGAGATATGACAATTTACATTATGTCTGTATAAAATGATACCAAATTGGGGTCACTGGTACATCTTGTCTGTATATACATCTGCCAAAGTGTAATTGTTCTCAATATACTATCTGTATATAATGACGCCCAAGAGATGTCTTTATATAATGATGTCCAGGGGAAATATCTTTACATACTCTTTATGTTATTGGTGCCCTAGGGTGATCTCCTTTCAATATTTCCTGTATATATTTATGACCAAGGGTGATCTCCTTTCAATATTTCCTGTATATATTTATGACCAAGGGTGATCTCCTTTCAATATTTCCTGTATGACCAAGGGAATCTCTCTCAACATAATATCTGTATATAATGATGCCCATTGAAAATAACATTACATAATCTTTATATTAATGATGACCAAGGGTGATCTCCTTTCAATATTTCCTGTATATATTTATGACCAAGGGAATCTCTCTCAACATAATATCTGTATATAATGATGCCCATTGAAAATAACATTACATAATCTTTATATTAATGATGACCAAGGGTGATCTCTTTTCAATTATTCCTGTATATATTCATGACCAAGGAAAATGTCTATTTACATTGTGTTTGTATGCATAAAATGATGCATACGAGAAAGTATTTTCATGACGCCTTAAGGAAGTATCTACACATAATTGTAATTACGTACTTTGGTACTGACATGATTTACAAGGATACAACAGATACAGTTAAGTCTGCCTCATATCTAGAAATTGACAATGAAGGTCGGTTGAAAACAAAACTTTACGACAAAAGAGATGATTTCAGCTTCCCAATTGTGAACTTTCCATTTCTATGTAGCAATATTTCAGCAGCGCCTGCATAACGAGTATACATCTCCCAGTTGATACGATATTCCAGGGCTTGTATTTCCTATCATGATTTTCTTGATAGAGGGTTGCTGCTCACAAGGAAGCTATTAAACCAAGACTTCCAAGTGGTGAAGTCGAAATCATCCCTTCGTAAGTTTTACGGACACCATCACGAGTTGGTTGACCGTTATGGAATATCCGTTTCACAGATGACAACGGATATATTCCAATTGTTGTAACTATAATCCAGTCTCTTTTTCCGAGAATGTGACCTACCGAATTAGACTTATCACCGGGTTTGTACTAACATGACCAACACGATGGGTGCCACGTGTGGAATAGGATCTGCTTACCCTTCCAGAGCACCTGAGATCACCCCCAGTTGTTGGTGGGATTCGTGTTGCTCAATCTTTAGTTTTCTATGTTGTGTTTTGTGTACTGTTGTTTGTCTGTTGGTCCTTTTCTTTTTTAGCCATGGCGTTGCCAGTTTATTTTCGACTTATGAGTTGAATGTCCCTCTGGTATCTTTCGCCTCTCTTTTGTATTCTGTGGTCCGCTGTACTTTCTGCATGGGTATTCTGTATTTCGCTGTGCTTGCTGCAGCTGATTTCGCTGTGCTTGATGCAGTTGTATTTCAATGTATTTTATGTAGGTGTATTCTGTATTCGGTTGTATTTGTTGTATGTGTACTCCGTTGTACAAAGTATTAATTCTCATAGTGTCGTTAACGTTGCATTCGGCTGTCCTTCCTCGATTCCGCTTTCTGACGTATGAGCTGCGCCTTTTGTCATACTCAGATTTAGCTTGATGTGGTATTTACATCGTACGTGTTGCATGCATGTGTGCATGCTTGAGTTTTCTACAGGTGTTTTGGCTGTCTTTTGATAAATTAGGACTCCATTAAAGTAGAGTAAAAAAATCCAATAAAAACAGACAACGCCATGGCAAAAAATAAAACAACAAAAAGACAAACAACAACAACAAAATATAACTGTTACATATACATGTAGATAACTAAACATTGAGCAACATAACATCAAATTTAATTTACAATTAGGGAACAGATTGACAATCATATTCATGTACATGTTATTGCGTCTTTCTACTTTGTTAATGGAAATAGTTGCATGTATGGATACCCATATAAAATTTTTGTATTTCTAATTGAAAGGATATGTATGAAATATGTATATCAAAGTTATTAGTAATTTCAACAGAATGAATTTCGTTTTAAAAACAGCCATTATACATCTTTTGCAAGATTTGTTGCTTAATTGACATATTGTCTGTAAGATTATATTTACGCTTTGTGTTTGAATTTTGCGTCGTTGTGCTGCTTGAGCTATTAGCTTTTCTTGATTAAATCATCTTTTCTATTTAACATGTCATCTTCTAATTTTGCACTCTTTCAATTATATCATGTTTCTTTTATTTTTTGAAAGTGTAAATCTATATGCTTAATTAATCGAAACTGTCGTAAATTCGTTTAGATTGTTTTTGTACTTTTTGTTGATGATCTTAAAAGCTTTTTTCAAATATGTTGAATTAGTATAGTGTTTTTTAACATCATTATTGATCATCGATAATAAAAAGAAGGCGGAGATAGTATACAACATGTGACATTAGACTATTTAAACATTCTAAAGATTTCTTTCATTACTGTGATTGTCTTTGCAGCGGAAGCCTGATAATTCTGCGATTTATTTCATATGAAACACTTTTAAAAGTACACAATGCATTATATTTTTCTGCTGGTGAACACCTTTTGTATTGGTAAGTTACTTTACTTTCCACATTCTTCCCCTATTTTAAATTATTTTAATTGAAATATGAATATAATTTCAAACAGACAATATAAACTCTCATTGTTAATTCGTGTCATTGAACATTTGAAAATAATAGGTTATTTATCATGGCTGATTTGCCAAATATGATTCAATATGTGACGGATGTTTTTTTATAGCTTTGTCTATACGTTTATCATGTTTATATCGGTCAAGCGTAAATGAAACATTTTTATTTTCATGTTTTCATTTACCTCGTTTATCTTATTAAGGACTTTTGCCATTCATTAATGGATATGGATTAAGTTACAACTATTTTGACGAGATGGCTCAGACCTACTGTGTAAGTCGCCTGAGCTCTCCAGCGTTTGTGTTTGCTATTAGGCGAGATTGTGGAGGAATTGCACCTACCTGTAACGATATCTGCAAAAATGCAAAAGATGATATGCTGAGTGCTATAGGAAATCAAAGGAGATAGTAAGTTATAAGTACAATGGTAAAAGTAGCAGTTTTTATGTTACAGTAGTAGATATCTGTTTATTATTTGCCATGATCAGCTTTTTTTTTTAATGAAAAACAACCATTTTAATTTCAATTAAATTGTTTCCTCCCACTGAAAATGAAAATAGCCCTCTACAAACTTCGTCGGAAGTGCTTTTATGGGTCCATCTTAAAAAGGTCAAACCAGAACATTAATCAGCCACGGATGTATACAAAATGTAAGACCTAAATACGTAAAGAGCTATTTAACCAAACGGGACAAAGAAAATAGCCATAAATATCTAAAGTCAACTTTGAATGATTGAGTTGTAATCTTAATTTTGCAATATGTTCTTGATTTATTAACGATGAACTTAAGAACAGTTTGTTAAAAATCATGTTAGTTACAGTGTACCAGTATTGGTATCGATCCAGTGTTGGTAAATGAAAATAACATTAACACTGTGCTTAAACGGCTGTGGGTAACTTAAGTTACCCACAGCCCAAGATGGAGCTGCCTGGCTTCGGTAAGAAACTTCTCTCCTATATGATAACAATACAATGAACACAACACAAATGTTCAGTAATTAAAAAGTTGTATCAATCTTTTAGGGAAACACCTAAACATAAAAGATGATTAAATACTGCAAAATAAACGATCACATTACGATTTTCGAAAACACTTAGGATGTCCGTAACTTGAAAACAACTTGTCCGTAACTTTTTTCATTATACCAATAGGGATGTCCGTAACTTTAACGGGATGTCCGTAACTTTAACATGATGTCCGTAACCTGAGACATAATATATATTATAGTATAATAGTCCCAGCTGTAACTTTCTAAGAATCGGTTTTCGTGTAATAATTAAACATATTATAGAAATTGTATCGAATATATAATCAGAAATAAAGTAGATTTCTAGTATGATATAATTCTTTTGTGAATACCATGATTTCTGGTATTGTACCCAGCTAATAAACTCGATTTTTTTTAAATTACATGTGTTAGTTTATTTCATAGATACCATGTTTATCACTCAATCAGCCAACACAATGGAACTTCAAACTTTAGCATAAGGAAACAAGTTTTGGACGAAAAATCAGGACATGCAGCTTATAAATCTCACCACTTCCTACTGCAGATATCACAAATTTCAGATCAAATTACTCAAGGCCTTAAACCATACATTAAAAGTGAACATACGAAAATCACCTTTAAGAGAACAAGTTCAGATGTCAATCCTGAGCGGAAATACATAGACGGAGCTGTCCAGACCCCTGAAGAAGATATTTACGCTTTGATACCAAGTGTTATTGAATCCATGAGGTCAATGAAACGTTTAGAAGATTTTAAATCTACCTTAATTGCTGTTATAAACGGACACCTGTTCAACAATATAGCCTTCCATTTATTGGCTTTAAGATGTTGGCATTTTTTTTTCATAACACTAGGTATAGTGGAGACCATACTTTTTTGGCTAACAATTCGGAAATTATTTAATGGAAAAGGTATCAATTTTGCCCGCGGCTAAAGGGTCAAGGACTCAACAGTGAACAATCGATAAAGCCAGAAGAATGAAAGATAAATTTCGCCGTACCATCAGATCTTGTTTTATGTAAACACTCTGCAAAATATACTTTGGATGCTGCTAAACAGGTTTACTGGATTAATCTATCAACATATTATCCGAAAATCGGGAATAAATTGAAAAAAACAACGGTAAATCCGTAAAACTCGGGTCTGATTTTACTATGTTCTCTTTTCTCTTGGTTATTTTGACGCATATCGTAATAGTATAAAACTAGGTAATAAATACGGGATTTGATAGTGTTTATTGTCCTTTAATTGTTGAAATTATCAATCTTACCATTTTGAAAACAAAAGTTACCCACATTCGAAAATAAAGTTACGGACAGTCTGATTAGTTTTGACCATAAAGTTACGGACATCTTATGCATTTTTAAAGTTGGCCTTGCGCTAAAATGAACTCAAAATTAACAAATTTATGGTAATGGTAAGTGATTTCTTTATTCAAGAATCCTATAAATATTTACATAGTGTATGAAATACGTCGCAAAAAGTAGATTTTGTATCAATTATATATCAACGAGTTTAGAGACCGCCATCTTGGGCTGAAGCACAGTGATTAATAAGTTCGTACGTCTAAATCGTTTTTCTTGATTGACCTTCATCAAAAACACTCAAACCTAAACATTTGAAAACCAAGGTAAAACCTAAAACCAGGAAAACCTATACGACAAAAGCAAGGTTGTATAAAACCTAAAACCGGGAAAATCTATACGACAAAAGCAAGGTTGTATAAAACCTAAACCCGGGAAAAGCAAGATTGTATAAAACATAAAACCGGGAAAATCTATACGACAAAAGCAAGGTTGTATAAGACCTAAAACCGGGAAAAGCAAGGTTGTATAAAACATAAAACCGGGAAAATCTATACGACAAAAGCGAGGTTGTATAAAACCTAAAACCGAAAAAATATATACGACAAAACCAAGGTTGTATAAAACCTAAAACCGGGAAAATCTATACGACAAAACCAAGGTTGTATAAAACCTAAAACCGGGGAAATCTATACGACAAAAAGGGACCAAAAATATTTTGGCCAAATTCATTTAAGGTCAATATTGCCTGACGGAGTTTGAACCTAGTTTCTCCAAAATTTCTTAATTTATAAACGGAGAATATAAGAAAGTCCGTAAAAAATCATGTCATTACCAAAGCACTGACTATTGATTTTATGATACCCGCGGGGAACACCAGCACCAGTCCACCAGCAGTTATATCAACTCAATGCTGGAAAATGACAATAACACTTTAATAATTCCGTATATCCGAATCGCTTTTCTGACACTTTATGAGGAGATTAGATATTTTTTCAATCAGAATGCTGGGTAAGTTTGACGAAGTGCTTGGTAGTTGTATCTATTGCTATTGCTAACCGAATGCCTTTGCTACAACGATTATGTATTTTTCTTTTCAGTGTTGCCTGTTTTGATGCAATCAATATTAAAAAAAAACATGCAGAACTTCAAATTAACCCTTTTAATAATCAACCTGATGCTGGGAAAATTAGTATGATAACTTACGGGTACGGAAGAGGAGGATGTGCGTGGAGTCCCAACCAATGTGGACCGAACTGGTGTTGTTGCAGGGCTTATAATTAATAACTGATGGCTGGCTAGCAACTGGATAGATAACTGCTATTAAAAAAAACATTTAATTAATTCAGTTTAATTCAATTAAAATAAAAGATAAAAAAAAAAAACATTCTTCTGAATGAAAAAAGCAGTAGTTAACCGTCGGTAAATTGTTAAGGATTTTCCTGGCTATAGACAACATGAAAAACAATTTTAAAAAACCTTGATCCTTTACTCTCTTAACGTTCAATAAATGTTTGTATATTTACACAGCTAAGTTTAACTGACAATAATAACCTTACTGATGACAAAATAAGTAGAACGAAGTTGATACCTCTAAAGTAACGTATTTTACTACAATCCCGTCCCCTTTTCCTGGTCTGTTTACATCTACTACAATCCCGTCCCCTTCTCCTGGTTTGTGACATCTACTACAATCCTGTCCCCTTTTCCTGGTTTGTGACATCTACTACAATCCTGTTCCCTTTTCCTGGTTTTTGACATCTACTACAATCCTGTCCCCTTTTCCTGGTTTGTGACATCTACTACAATCCTGTCCCCTTTTCCTGGTTTGTGACATCTACTACAATCCTGTTCCCTTTCCCCCAATTGTGACATCTACTACAATCCTTCACCTTTTCCTGGTTTGTGACATCTACAACAATCCCGTCCCCTTTTCCTCGTTTGTGACATCTACTACAATCCCGTCCCCTTCTCCTCGTTTGTGACATCTACTACAATCCTGTCCCCTTTTCCTGGTGTGTGACATCAGCTACAATCCCGTCCCCTTTTCCTCGTTTGTGACATCTACTACAATCCCGTCCCCTTTTCCTCGTTTGTGACATCTACTACAATCCCGTCCCCTTTTCCTCGTTTGTGACATCTACTACAATTTAATCTTGTCCCCTTTTCCTCGTTTGTGACATCTACTACAATCCTGTCCCCTTTTCATCGTTTGTGACATCTACTACAATCCGGTCCCCTTTTCTTCGTTTGTGACATCTACTACAATCCTGTCCCCTTTTCTTCGTTTGAGACATCTACTACAATCCTGTCCCCTTTTCCTCGTTTGTGACATCTACTACAATCCTGTCCCCTTTTCTTCGTTTGTGACATCTACTACAATCTGGTCCCCTTTTTTCTGGTTTGTGACATCTACTACAATCCGGTCCCCTTTTCCTGGTTTGTGACGTCTAATACAATCCTGTCCCCTTCTCCTGGTTTGTTACATCTACTACAATCCTGTCCCCTTTTCCTCGTTTGTGACATCTACTACAATCTTGTCCCCTTTTCCTGGTTTGTGACATCTACTACAATCCTGTCCCCTTTTCCTCGTTTGTGGCATCTACTACAATCCTGTTCCCTTTTTCCCGTTTGTGACACCTACTACAATCCTGTCCCCTTTTCCTCGTTTGTGACATCTACTACAATCCTGTACCCTTTTCCTCGTTTGTGACATCTACTACAATCCTTTCCCCTTTTCCTGGTTTGTGACATATACTACAATCCGGCCCCCTTTTCCTGGTTTGTGACATCTACTACAATCCTGTCCCCTTCTCCTGGTTTGTGACATCTACTACAATCCGATCCCTTTCTCCTGGTTTGTGACATCTACGAAATTCAATGTGATTATCACCGATCATCAGTTGTCATGAGCAACACAACATGTACCACTAGTGGAGCAAGATCTTCTGACTAAATGCATGTTACATTAATAGTATGTAGATATAAAAAGATGTGGTATGAGTGCCAATGAGACAACTCTCCATCCAAGTTACAATTTATAAAAGTAAACCATTATAGGTCAAGGTACGGCCTTCAACACGGAGCATTGGCTCACACCGAACATCAAGCTATAAAGGGCCCCAAAAAATTACTAGTGTAAAACCATTCAAACGGAAAACCCAACGGTCTAATCTATATAAAAACGAGAAACGAGAAACACGTATGAACTACATAAACAGACGACAACTACTGTAATCAGATTCCTGACTTAGGACAGGTGCAAACATTTGCAGCGGGATTAAACGTTTTAATGGTACCAAACCTTCTCCCTTTTCTGAAACAATAGTATAACATCACAACATAGAAAAACACACTATAAAATATCAATTGGAAGGCTTGTGACCATAAAGTTCGTGACATCATCTATCAAAAGCTCGGTAATTATGCTCATATAAATTTTATTTGATATCTTAAAAAATCCCAGCGTAGTATCGCACATATTATGCATTGATGTTTACTATAATTTTCCACTGAAAAACAGTCAGCAACTCTATCAAAAAGGTTAATTCTCCTTTCAGGTTTATATCAAACAAAAGCATACAATGTCATTTGGAAATTGCATGTTCCCTTTGGTCTGTTGGTTTATCTCAAATGAAAATAACACTTCATAAATTCAGTGAGTCTGACGCATTTTTATGGATTAACCTTCATCAGAAAAGCTCAAACCTAAACATTTGAATACACGGGATGTATAAATACTTATACAAAGAAACGGCAGGAGCTATATGAAAAAACGGAATCTTAAAAGATTGGTAAATTCATTTAAATCAACTTTGCCTGCGGGAGTTAGAACCTGAATTTGTTAATAATTTCTTTTATGTTCTATATATATATACGTCAATTAAACATTAACCCAAAGACAGAATTCTACATATTTTATTAAAAATTAGTCCGAAAATAAAACGTGCTACACTTATGTAGAACAATTGATCAATATGCTAGAGTTTCTCATTGACAACATATTTGTCGTATACGTACAACATATTTGTTGAATATGGAGGTAGAAGATTCCAGCAGGTTCACAGGCACTTGTCTCTAAAAACAATTCCTATATACCTTAATTAAGGACATTCAGAGACAAGTGGCTGTGAGCAGGTATTCGGAATTCGGAACCAACTGTGCACCTCTCGTGGCCGACCTTTTCGTATTTTCATATGAGTCGGAGTTCCTTCAGACACTTGTAAAAATCAAAAATTGGTACTGAATTAATTGATATAATTTGGACACTTTTAAAGTGCAGAAATATCCGTTGTGATGTTACTTTGGTGTTATTAACCTATACAAATACAAATATCTTTTATTCCAGAGTATAGGGCCCCCAGGGTATGAATCACAAAAAAAGACAAAAATGATAATACTAATAATAAAAAAAATAATTAATAAATGCAAGCCTTAAATATTCTTATTGAACTAATCTTTGCGAAAGGTTAAAACAAATACAAAAGAACTAGAGTTTGGTGCATTTTATACAATATAGCTAATATTGGATTCCTAGAATAAAGTTTTTTATCAGTACCCATCAGTTTGACTTATCGTGATGATTCAGCACTTTTCTCAACACAGTATTGGTCTGGTGAATAATTTCTGTTCATGGTGATAAAAATCAAATGTACTGATCAAAAGCTTTAAAATAGTGAAATGTAACTGAGCTCTGATTGATTTCCCTTGCTATCTCCAGTATAATGTATCTAACACACTAGCAATATTTTGATTTTTCTATTACTTTATACTCTAAACTGTGTAGAACATAAATTATCCGCAAAAGAAACTTAACCACATCTTCTAATTTTTATATTTATTACAACCTCATTAACTCTTTAAAGTTATGTAGATGTTACTGAACTATAGTATATCCTGTTTAAGTGTGTGCGGTAATATGAGACAAGTGATCAGTTAAATAAATCTTATATATATTCCAAATACCGTTGCGATTCCTATAACATCACTGAAGAGACATCAGTTGTCGAAATCCGGATCTGGTGTACTAATTTTTGCACCTTTTGTTTGCGGTATACCATCTTTTCCGCAAGTTTATTGTTTTCTGTTTGGTATTAAATTAATAGCTAAGATCTATTTTTTTTACATCTGGTGATCTGTTTATTTGGCAATCGCCAATGGCAGTCAGCAGGGTTTAAGAACATCCGTTGTTCGAACTGCAAGTCAAATGCTATTTGTTAAAATATACTTTTCACTTTTTGGTCTTTTGGAAAATGTTGTTTGTGCTGTATTTAGACCCCTCTACCAAGATATTTGTTTTGCAGGCACACGTATAAAAATTGCGGTTTTTATCCATCGCAATCATAGGTTTGAACGTTGTTTTTAATTTAGATTTGTTTATATTTTTTCGTTTGGGCTTGTATTATATTTGCCTTCGGGTTTATATGATCCGTTCATCCTATTTTGACTCCTCAAAATGCAAGAGTCTATCCTAAATTGAGGTAAATTGTATGGCTTTCCAAATACCGTTTCGATTCCTAACATTACTGAAGAGACATAAATTGTCGAAATCCGGATATGGTGTACAAAAACCTTTGCAACTTTTGTTTGCGGTATATCATCTTTTCCGCAAGTTTATTGTTTTTATGTTTAGTATTAAATTTATAATTAAGATCCATTTATTACATCGGTGATCCGTTTATTTGGCAATCGCCAATGGCAGTCAGCAGGGTTTAAGAACATTTGTTGTTCGACCTGTTAGTCAAATGCGTTTTGTTAAAATATACTTTTCACTTTTTGGTCTTTTGGAAAATGTTGTTTGTGCTGTATTTAGACCCCTCTACCAAGAAATTTGTTTTGCAGGCACACGTATAAAAATTGCGGTTTTTATCCAACGCAATCATAGGTTTCAACGTTGTTTTCAATTTCGACTTGTTTATATATATATATATATATATATTAAATGACTGAATAATAGCCAACGATAAATCTTACGGGGCGTTCTGGTAAAACTGTTTGTTTGTATAGAATTCAAGATTGCTATAGTTTGATAATAATAATAGGTTGATAAGATTCATTTTACATCACGATCATACTGATGAAGGATATCTGTTATCCGAAATATTTATAGTTACATTTGTTCATTTTATTGTTATTTTTTGGTGATGTTGTACCCGTTTAGACTGGTTATATATTATATTTTGTAGTGTACTGAATCATAATTATATGATCAATCGTTCCGTGAGATTTATCGTTGGATATTATTCAGTCATTTTATATATATAAAAACGCCTAAAAAGTGTACGAAACAACACCAATATTAAAAAAAAAGAAACATTATATGTAATTACCTATAAATATTTCGGATAACAGATATCCTTCTTCAATATGATTATGA